ATATATAAATACTTAGGAGTTTATTTTAGGATTTTTTCATATTGTTTGTAGTTAGTGTATTTGATTGCAGTATAGTAGGTTGATATGTTTAGGGTTATTTGAAGAAGTATTAAGTTCTTTTTTAATTAAGTTCTTTGTTAATATTTCTAATAGCTCATCTAATTTGTTCATCAGTGATGTAATTAAGAAAGTTATTATTAATGAGAGTTTGTTTAATGTTTCTTAATTTGGTGTAGAAAATTTTTTTCATGGGAGAGTTAGCTTTTGCACAGTTTATTAAATTTGTATAATAGCTGTTTTGTAATAGTTAGGACATCCATATGTTTATGCTAGTTATTTGTTTTTATATAGGGAGGTAGTAGATGTATTATTATTATTATTATTATTGGTGTCCATCAAGATATCAAAAAAAGGAATTTTATTGTTAAGTTGATATGTGAATTTAAGAACAGTTTTTTTTTTAAAGATTTTTTGTAGTTCATGTATTTCATCTATGGTTTTAACTAAGAGGAGAATATCATCTACATATCTAGGGGTGATGGAGGATTTTAGTTATATTAAATATCTTATTTTTGAGGTTAGCCATGTAGAAGTTACTAAATGTTGGTCCCAGAACTGAACCCATGGAAAAGCCATCACGTTGTACATAGATATTTACAAAATATGCACAGCTATCAATTACAGAAATTTTTTTTTAGCAATTCACCTTGAAGATGATCTTGGATGGGATTGAAAGTACTTGGAAAAATAAAAGAAATGAAAATAACTATGGCTTCTTCCTTAATCAGTTTAATAACAACATTAAGAAATTGATCCATGAATGAGAGGATTAAAATAAAAATAAATGGGCATATGTCCAGATTATTCAACATGCTTGAATGAAGATATGCTGCCTAAATTATATATATAATATATATTGTGTGTGTGTACAAATTGACTGAAAAAAAATTATAATATAAAGAAAAAATTTAAAAAATGATGCACATATTCAATTTTGAAAAATAAAACTGCTCTCAATCTCAAAGCAACATTAGAAGCAACTACATATTCAGATCATGTGGTTCTCTTTCATCTTGGCTTTCATATCCATAATGTTAGGCTACTGGTTGATCTCTTTGTCAATAGTGCTCCAAATATAGTAATCTAGGGGATTCAAGTGACAGGATTGTGAAAATGGAATACATATAGCCTCTCTTGATTCACAACTTGACCACTATGTTCAGTATCTTGATGTAGGAGATAGCATTGATTCTGAAACTCTAGAGAAAGACATGGTATGGTTATAGCTGTTATTGTTCAAGACTCTCAGGACCATCATGGATGATGTGAAACTGTTAGCATAGAAGTTATGGCTACATCTAGCTATCTCAACTATAAATTGATGTGATCTTGCCACCAATCTAGTATTGTGCTTAAATTCATATAGTCTAGGTACCATAGCAAAAAGCTCATCCAAACAATTACCATGAAAGTATTTGTATAAAAGGCACAGAGAGGCAACCTTATGGCAGTAGACAAGTGACTGAAGTCAAGCTGCCAGATCAGGACAAATAATATTGCTGATTCTTCTTTGGATCTTTTCAAGGAACTCCATGTAAATAGCATGGGCACTAGACCATATATGGCAGCAATATTCTAAACATGGATGAACGGTAGACATATATATGTGAGATAGACTCAGGAGAGAATTGTCTCACTCAACACAGTGAACTGACTTTCTTAGCAGCTGACCTAGCAATAGATTAAATATAGTCTTTTCACTTCATGTCAGCTGATACTGTTAGCCTTGAGAAGGTGTAATGATTCACTTTCCTGGAGGATAGCATCAATCATGCTGATGGAAGGCAGAGAGGGGTCTCTCAAATGATTAATAGAGAGAAGTTTAGTTTTGGAGGCATTAAAATTGACAAGCCATTTTTTGCCCCAGTTAACAACAGTCTTGAGGTTGTTCTATACATCAGCTGCCATTTTGACCTTAGTGTGTATCACATGAGAGCCATCTGTTATTTCTCTTGTTCACTTTCTGATTGAAGTTCTTCATCAATGTTCAGCAGGTACTCTGATCAGATGAATCCACTATTCTGACATGAACTGCCCTCTCCTCACCACATAGAAGTTGATGATGCCCTTGTACGCCACAAACATCTGTTAGTGGTCGCTGCCACCTTGAGCTGCTTGGCAACTTGCAGGGTTTGTGGTTGATGATATGAACCATCACACAAACTACATTTGACTGCATTAGTTTGTTCCTCACCTTCAACATGAAGGACCTGGCCACTTTGAAGTTGCTGGTTATTTCATCTGATGTGAATGACACCTAGGGCTATGCATATGACATATTTTTTCAGATTGGAAGCTGCCAGAGCTTGAGATTACTGTCATCTCATCACCCCAGGGATGATAGAACATTAATTTGTAATGACTGGTTAGGTTTTTTTTAGGGAAGGATGCTGGGATGATACAAATGTTTTAATTAAAACTGTATTATATTTATTTTCAAAAGCAACTAAATTTTAAGATAAAAAGAAAGCAATTCTTACCTGTCACCAATAGTAGCAGGCTTTTAATAAATGAAACTTGTACACACAAATGAGCAAACAAAAAAAATAAAATTTTAAGCACTTCTTTTTAAACTGGTGAATACAACCAATTGAAAAACAAAGATTTACAAAGATTTACATTTGGGAACTTCTATTATTTATCATGAAAAATGTTAGGATCTCATTTTAAGAACTAAATTATACTTTTTATCCACTTTTTTGGTTAAAAATGATATATAAACATCAAAAATTTAGTCATGACGCAAGCCACAGAATTGTAAATGGAAAATTGTTGCTAAATACTTTAAAAATGTTTTTGATTGTGCTAATATTTTTTGCATAGAAAATGAATGTGAATCAGAGAGCACAATTCTTAAAGTCTGATAAAAGTTACTCTGAGAATGACAATTAATGAGAACATTTCCTTGTAAAATCATTCAAGGTTATTTAACCAAACCATTTAAATAAAAATAAAGATTTTTTTCTTTTTTTTTATATATAAAAATGACAGTAAAATGTAAATGATTTTGTATTCATTCAATTTAAAAATTCTGATATTTATTTTTTTTTAATTTAATAGTATTTTTATTATGCTATTAAGTATCTCTATCTATAAAAGGCAGGATGTGTGTGTGTGTGTGTGTAATGAATGCACGGACGCAATTTTTGACGGATTTGTACCAAAATTTACATACATATGCTCCAAGTTAGCGGAAAGGCCAAGACCAACTTTGCATTTCCCAACTTCCATCGATAGTGAAAATAATCAATTTTTTCATGCTTCTATGGCAGTTTTCATGTAGTTTGCGACCATTTTGTACTGGCCAGAGTGAGAGCCTATAGCTGGCTACCACAAATAGGCAGGAAGATTCTATTGGCCAGTGGTAGAGCCAACAGCTGACTGACACGAATGTTAACTAGCATGCAAAAAAAATCGATAGCTGCATTCGTCACAAGTGGGAAAAATTTAAATCTGCATGGCACTTTACTCCATTTGGCTCATTCGCTTGCTTAAACTCAATGTTGATTCTGATTTCGCAGAACTGGGTTGGGTGTGAAAAAGTATTTGTTGTTAACATTCTTTTTTCATTCGGTTTTTCCAGTTACGAGTCCTTTTTAAAGCTGATTGTTTTGTGTTCATTTTGTTTAGTTCTTTTTTCGTAACAGATTTAATGTTTAGTATAGAGCTTAAAAAAAATTTGCAGTGTGAGATAGGCAAGAAGTAAGGCATGTAGCAACATCAGCACAGCAAAGGGCATTCCTTTAAAGGCAAGGAAGGGCAAAAATATTTTAAGTCAAGTGATAGCGATTGCTGTATGAGTCATACAATTTTTGAATCAAGCACGGGCAACGCCGGGCCATGCTGCTAGTAAGTTATTAAAATAAAATTGATTTCAGTAGTGTTTAAAAAAAAAATTTTGTGATGGTTCTGCTATCATAATGATGAAAAGTAGTCTTGAGCCTTGGAAGCTGCCATATTAATACTCTTAATAATCTGTAAAACAAATGAATTTTAAGATTTGGCACATACCACATATTAGGTTGTCTTCCATTTACATGCCACTAAATGTGTGTTCTCAGATACATGGCATTATTAAAGGCAAGGTCTATCTGTTTAATTTTGTTATTGTATTTTTCCCAATTTCAAATAATTTTTTGTATATCCAAATCAAAATTAGGGATTAACTGTCTAAAAGTTTGTTTTCCTTCTGGAACTTTTAACTGTCCCAGTCATTATCAAGAATTAAATATTTTCACTATGGAAGACAAGATTTTGTTGGCTACATCCTGTAATTTTGCAGAATGCTACATTTCAAAATCAAATATACATGTATCATATAAGTGATATCATGTGTCGAATGGTTATGACTGTATCAAATATTTTATATGAATTATTTTATATGCATATTAAAAATTTTATACTCTCTTTAAAATACTTTTTCCTGTGGTGAAAGGTATTTTATTCAATGTGAGTTGTTTCTTTAGTATAATAATAGCTTCAGGTATTTTAAGGTTACAATTTTGTTTTGGATGTACAAGAAAATGAGAAAAATACAATAAGCAATTAAACATATCAACCTTGTCAGTTGAATTTAACGAAAGTTGTTTAAATGTATTCTTGCTGATTTTCTCTTAGAATTTAATTTAGCAATTTTTGCCTCTACCAAAGTTGGACATTGCATCACAAATTTTAAAGAATTATTTTAATCTCTTTTCATGAATTTATACTTGTTGTAATCAATATCATATAAATTAATGTACTTTATGCTTTTCAAATGAAGAGGAATATATTTTGTGAATAATGTGTTTAGTTTTTGTGCTGATTCAAAGTCATCTGAGACAAAGACAACATGAACCTTTAAACAGGTTTACACTCCAGTCTCTGAATCAAAACAGAATCTGAATGAATTTATTACTTGGTTTTCCTTTAGTTTTTTTTTTTTTTTTATCTTCCTGCAGGTGAAATGGGTGTCTCCCTTGAAGATAGAACTGAAGAAAACCAAACTTCCCACATCAGCCTTGAGGTTTTATTCCATAATGCTAGCATCAAGCACATTGAAAATCAACAAACTAATTCACATACAATGCGACAAACAAAAGCAATTCAAAGGTTTATTTTCTTCTTTTTTTAAGTTCAATTTCCATTACATTGATGATATTAACAGAATTCTTTTCTTTTTAGCATTTAAGAAACCAAATCGGAATATATATATAGCATAGTGGATACCCACACAATTGGCTTAGAACACTCAGTCAAGTGAGCTCTAAGTGATTTTACCTGGGACTAAAGAGTTTGGTGTTTTGTGACCAAGAGTAAAGTCTAGATATAAAGACTTCCAAGCAACCACTCATTGCCTACAAATAAGGAAAAATGGAATGAAGTAAATGTATAAATAAGTGAAACTTTTAGGACCAAGTGCTACTTGATCGAAATGTAGGGAGTTCTGGTTGTTGGCTTATATAGCCAGGCTGCATACTAGAATTGGTAGTTAGCTGTTTGTTGGTGGGGGACAAGCAACATGTTGTGATGTAGAGATGGACAGAGAGAGAGAGAGTGGCAAGTGATAGTTGGGATGATCAGAAGGACCATGGTAAAAAGGCCATCAGTGAAAATGTAGTGATGAACATTCAAAGTGATGAGAGAGAAATAAATTAAGAGACTTGTAGAGATGGAAGCAGTCAAAATTCTTGATGGCCAAAGGGAATATCTGGTCCATTAGTCTTTCATGAGAGAAAACAGAAGTAACAGCAAAGATGTTGCAAGTGTCACATCCCTGCCCCAGACTGTGTCAGGTGAATCTGTGAATAAAGTACCAAACATTGGAAATAGGATTAGTGTTTTCTTTTCTTATTATGGCGATATTTCTTCTTCTGTTCCTTTGTTGAAAGTATGCTATTCCTTTTCCAGTTTTTGTTCACATCAATGCAAATGAGCATCAAAACATGCTGTAGGAAGGAAGCTGTCAAATGAAGTTGGTGAAAACTAAGCAAAGAGCCTTGGTTGCATATTTACACACAGATGAAATGATTTTGTGGAATCTTAAATTATGATCAGATTATTAAAAAACAAATTAAAAAAAAAATGACTTGTTCAAAAGAAGTTCTGTTTATAGCTTTTTTTCTTAAATTTTCTACATTAGTAAATAATAATGAGGTTTTTGCTTGTATGTCTTGGAGGGAAAAGAGCTAAACTTCCCTGATTACAGAAGTTAAGCAGAATTAAAATTAGTCAGTAGTTTAGAACACTAGACACTCTAAGAGATTTGTGGCTTTGAGTTATACTGCATTAAGTTTAGCCGATATCACAAGTTCTTTCCTCACTTTGTGTGCTACAATTATGGCCTTGTGCCAGATTAAGTAAAGTTTTGTAAGTAAATACAACACCAGGTCTTAAAAAAAACAGCCTTGAAAGCCTTTTTGCAAAATGACGTCCTTTAAACATTGGTTTTAAAACTTGATAATGTTATACTCTGCTTCAAATTTGATCTCTTTCTGATTCACTTTACATGTCAACCAGATATGAACACTAAGAAAGCAAAATTAAAAAAAGCTATCCTCTGTACAGGGGATCTGGGCATCACATCCAACTCACAAAACAAATTCCCTAAAAAAAAAAAAGTATAAAATACAATATAAAAGGAGCCAATAATGAATGTTGCCAATAAAGCAAAAACATGGAAAAAAAAAAGATTGGACATAATCCACCGTAGCTGCTTTTAAGAATACTACTCATGACACTGTAGACAGATATGAGCAAGCTGTTAATGTCACCACAAGTGACCTTAGTCAACCAACCTGACACACATATCCACTTCCGGTTCTACCAACTCTCCCCATTCCTGTAAATCACTTCTCTTGCCCACAAAGAAACATTCTGCTCCTATCCTCTGTATCGGCAATACAAACAATTTTATCTTAACAATTCTTGTTTTCTTTTCTTTCCATCTCACAGGCTGTTTATTGCCATTTTTATTTGTTCACCCATCCAACCAAAATTGGAATTTAGCAACTGGTATTAGTGTACAGCAGGAGAACTAATGAAATGGATTACATTGGCCTCACCTGCACAGAAATTCTCAATCTTATCAAGCAACAGCAGACAGCAGTACTGAATCTCAAACCGACTCTACATACACCAACAAATATCAGACAAAAGTGGTCACTGACAAACTTCAGTCAGATCTACAAGAAATGTTGGCTGCCCTCAAAAATCTGCCACTCTCAGATCCACAAACACAGTGCACAACCCCACAGACTATGAACAAATAATGTGGCAGCAATCACTACATGATGCAATACGCAATATCAGAAAATTTGAACCGGGCAACAATATCAAGTGTTTCATTACAAATCTGAGCAAAGTGTATATAATCCAAGTCAAATCAAAACTCATCAACTACCCACAAATGGAGGATGAATTCATCAAAACTGCCTAACAACTCTTTAACAAAGGCATATTCCAGCAGATGTAAGACTCTCAACAGGACACTTCCACCTATGAGCAGCTAAAGGCCTATCTTACATCTACCCACAGCAACCAAATGACAAATTATCAACAACTCAGCCAAGCATGGAACCTCCAGAGATGAGTCAGTGAGAAACTGAGAGACTTCTAAGGACAACTAGAAAACATAATTTGAGAAGCCACTGTCCATATCAAAGCAAAATTCAAGGTAGAGAATGAGGATGCAGAAATAACTGCTGATACAGTCTTCTCTCTCATGGGTGCTATGCGCCGGTGTGAAAAAAATCAAAACCTGGACATCCAACATTTATTCTCAGCTTGTTAAGACTACAGACAACCACTATTTGGTGAGCAGTACAGCAAGTGACACACAATTGTACATTAACCAGGGCATCAGAACTGACAGTACAACTACCCTTGATCCCACTGTAATGTATGCACATAAAACAGTGTCCTGACAAACCAAACCATTACCATGTGTTGACTGACACAAACCAGCAACTGCTTCAGATAAGTAAGCAACTCTCCAACATGAGTAACCCAATGCCATCCAACCAGAATTTGAACCAGACACACCAGTCAAAATCAGAAGAATTACATGAAAGGCTGTGCATGTTTCAAGGGCAGCAATTGCCTACATCGTCACCCATCCTGTATTCGAAGATAAGTCATGACCACAAATACCAACATAACAGAAATGGAAAATGGAACATCCAGGATTATTTCCGCAAATCCCATTAAGTGTTCTTTGTCTACCACACCACCTTATCCATCCCCCGCAAAACAGTTATCGATCATCTCAATATTGCCACCAAAGAAGCACCTGACAAGATGGTACACAAAATCATCAAAGGGCAGTTGATTCAAATGAGGCACTGGAAGCCATCACAATTGACTGTGCTACCAAGAACACCTCTACCAATTTTATTTGGAACCTCACACCTCTGTTTTGATCAGAGATGGGCAAAACAAGCCCAAACTTGTTATACCTTACTAACTCTGCACCAGATATCTCTATGAAGCTCATGACTGCACAAACCATTTTGGTGTCACCAGTATGCACAAACATCTGAAGCGATTTCAAGAACCACAACATAAAATTTTACATTGGTTCCTATCCTGCCTACACAAAACACAAGCGAAACGAAAATGGCGAAACAGACTGGGTCCATCATGTTCATGTCTGTTGTCTCGTACCACTACTGAATCATCTGCAATACACAAATTTCCCCCCCATTGTGTGTGCAGAATCCTCAATCACTACCTCCACTTCCATCTGGGGAGCATATAAAAACTCCAGATCAGGTGAAACCACTCAAACATTACCTAAAATTGCAGTAAAACAAATTCCAAAAAGACAAACATGTTGCAACTTACTTCAAAAGATTCATCTTGCACTAATATGAATAGTGTTAACACATCAAATCAACACATAAGTACATACATCCTTTCCACCCATACCCACTTACTATTTATTAATCAGATTGAGATCCAAGGGAGCTATTATACTCTGCTTCAAATTTGATCTCTTTCTAATTCACACTACATGATGGCTAGATGTAAATGCTAAAGCAAGTCTAAAAATAAAAAAATTCATCCTGTGTATAGGGACTCCAAGCATCACATTTGGTTCACAAAACAAATCCCCACAAAAAAAAAAAATATAAGATACAATACAAAAGGAGCCAATGACAAATGTCACCGTTAAAGTAAAAACATATATAAAAAAAACAATGTCATGAGCCACCCTAGCTCCTTTTAAGAATGCTGCTGATGATACTGTAGGTGGTCGCAGCAAATGTGCAAGTGGTCAACATCACCCCTAATGACCTCAGTCAATTGATCTGACACACACATCAACTCCAGGCTCTACCAACTCTCCCCTTCCTCCAAGTCACTTCCTTTGCTTACAAAGAGACATTCTATCTTAACAATTCCTGTTTTCTTTATCACCTCATTGGTGGTACTTGTTGTTTTGTTTGTTCTCTCATGCTACCATACATACATTTATAACAGAAAGTTTCAGCAAATTAGTTGATACTAATTAATAATTAAATACTCATTAATACTCACCATCCTCAAAATGGGACAGTGGACATTTGATGAGTGGAAACCTGTAATTGATGCTAGAAATTTTTTAGAAATCTATTATACAGGATTTTAAAAAAATTTTTTTTTTTTTTGTTTTTGAAACACAAAATTTTTTATAAACTTATAATTAATACCAGATTTTTTACTTTTATTTTTATAATTAATGTTGGATTTTACAGTTTGCATTAATTGGTCAAGCAATCAACTTTATCTGTTTGTTTCCTCAAATTACTGAGGACTTCTTTTTCTAGAAATTCAAAATTTTTACTATTCTGTTTTCAGTTGTGTTCTTGATGAAGCAGAAACTGTAGCGTCAAAGGTGCCATCCATTTTGAAAAGACTTGGTTCTTCAGTGCCAATGGTTGAAGATCTTGAACGAGAGCATCAAAATGAACATCAATCTTCTGGTACAAATGTGCTGCCTTCTTCATCTAGTATGGCTGCCAATTTCCCCTTGTCCAAGACAACAAAATTCATGACCCAGTTGTCTTCATCTGAAAACCAATCAAGTTCATATTTGCTCCAATCATTTCATTCCAATTATCTTGGACAAACTTCAACCATAGTAAGCAATTTACCAACAGACTGTGATGTTTTGAATCCCAACTCTGTATTGAACAATATTGAGCCTTTTTGCACAGGAACTGTATCACAATCCTCTTATCAAAATGTTGCATCCTTGCAATCTTGCAGCACCAGTTTGTCCAATTATCAACAGAATAATGTCGAAAGAAAGAAAATTTCTTCCATGCATAACTTGCCCACTAATTTCTTCTTGCCTGTCAGTACTGGAAACTGCACAAACTCTTCTAACTTTACTACAAGTCTTCTTTCCACTAATAGTAAGGGAGATAATTCTGCTACTTTCAGTCACACTTGCTTGTCGTCTCCCATTTTGGGAAAAACCAAATCTCAGAATCTGTTGACTCCAGCTGACATAGAAACTATTCCATCATCTATCATTTCAGCTGTAAGTGAGAAAAATTTTGTTTTTCACTGTTCTCTTTTATTCTCTTTTGAAGACTATTATTTTTGTTTTGCTTTTTTTTCTGTGGCAGAAGTTTTGCTAAAATAAATATCCTTTGTATTTAATTTATGTTGGAACTTTTGATATGAGAAATTATTATTATTATTATTATTATTATTATACGCCTTTCCATTTGGACTCATATTTTTTTTTTTTTTTTTTTTTAAGCATTTCACCCCAAGCAAGGCGGGGAGCCACTAGGACGCAAGGGGTTACAGAAAATAGGAAGATCAGATAGGAGTGATAGAAGAAAGGATGAGGGTAGTAGATAGATTAAGGCAACTGGAGATGTCAATTGACATTACACTTGAATAGCTGGAGATTATAACTCTCAGGGAAACAGGAGAAGGGAAGAGAGTTCCACAGGCGAGAGGTGCGAGACATGAAGCTATTAGAGTAGTAGAGACGGCTACATTTATGAGTTTCGACAGTGAAGGGGTGAGAGCGGGATGCCAGCCTCGTAGGGCGCTTGAACTCATGAAGTTTGGGAACCAGCGAATGCAGTTCCTCGGAGCAATTTCCATGAAAGTATTTGTAGAACAGACAGAGGGAGGCGACGGTGCGTCTGTGAGAAAGTGACTGTAGACGAGACGCCAGGGTAGGGCCAACCATATTACATATCCGCCTCTGGAGCCTATCAAGAACCCCGAGGCAAACAGAAGGGCGCCAGACCATATATGGCAGCAATACTCCATGCAAGGGCGAATTGTGGATTTGTATATCTGGAGGATCGACTCAGGGGAAAAACTTCCTAGCACGGCTCAGGAAGCCAACTTTCCTCGCAGTGGACGAGGCAATTGACTCGATGTATTTATTCCATCTCAGGTCAGCAGTCAACGTGAGACCGAGAAGCCGCAGAGAGTTGCTCTCGGGAAGTTGAGCGTCAGACATTATAATGGAGGAAGGGAAGGATCTCTGTGGTGATTAATAGAGAGCAGTTTAGTCTTTGAAGCGTTGAAGTTGACCAGCCAAATCTTGCCCCAGTTCACAATCGATTGGAGGTCCTTTTCGAGGCGCACGGCAAGGTGAGTTTTGTCAGCGAGACTGGATTTGTTTTTGAGGCAGGAATAAATTGTGGTGTCATCCGCGTAGATGCCGACTTGAGAAGTTATGGCGTCAGGAAGGTCATTTATATAGATAAGGAATAGAGTGGGGCCTAGGATGGAGCCTTGAGGAACTCCTGCGTTCGTGGGATAGGAACTGGAGGAGAATCCGTTGAGAACGACCTTCAATTCACGGTTTGACAGGAATGATTGTATTACGTTATATAATTGACCCGTAATGCCATAACCCTGGATCTTGCGGAGAAGGCCGGCATGCCAAACCCTATCAAATGCTTTGAGATATCTAGTGCCACGGCTCGGGCTTCCCCATTATTTTGGAGAGTTCGGTAGACTGTTTCCGTGATGGCTGTGAGCACATCGGCTGTAGATCTGGCAAAGCGGAAACCATATTGCTTGTCTGAGAGCAGATTATTGGATGTGAGGTGGTTAACCACCCCGGTATTGATTAGAGCTTTGAAGATTTTGCGAAGAGGGGAAGGAGACTGATAGGACGGTAGTTGGAAGGGTCAGAGGGGTCGCCGGAGTTCTTGAAGACAGGAACAATCGAAGAGAACTTCCAGCAGTCAGGAAAACAAGATTCCTTGAGGCAGTAGTTGTATAGTTTGAAGAAAGGGCGGGCGCCAGTTCAGGCGCGCATTTCTTTAAGACAATGGCTGGTATCCCATCTCCACCACTCGCCTTGTTGAGATCTAAATTGGAGATAACGCCCAGTACCAAGGTTGGGGTTATGTTTAACCCACTCAATATGGCCTCAGTTCTAAGAGGAAAGTCAGGTATGGGTACACCAGAAGAGTCGAAAGCGTCGAGTTGGATGAAAATTTCCGAGCAAAGCATTCAGCCTTGTCGGTAGAGGAGGTCAAGACTTCGAACTGGTTGAATAGAGGAGGTATAGAGGGTTTGCACTTATTCAATACACTCTTGCAGAGACGCCAATAATCTTTGGAGCCAAATTTGCGAGATGCAACACGTTCCTTCATTCGAGCAGCAAATAGTGACTTAGCATCATTTAGGACACGCTTACAATCATTACGGGCGGCGGCAAAGAGACGTCTATTGCAGTCAGACATGTCGCTACGGTATAGGTGGAAGTAGTGGTTCCTATGGGGCGATGGCGGCTGAGCAAGCAGCCGAAAACCAGGGGCAGGAGCGCGTCTTTACCCTATATTTCCTTGATGGGATGAAAGCGTCGATTCCAGCTTTAACCCAGGAAGAGACCTCAGAAGCACATTCTTGGACGGGGAGCTTAAAGACTCCATCCCAGGGGACATCGCGGAGGAAATCACGGAACGCGTCCCAGTCAGCTCGTTGATAATAGAACGAAGTTCTAGTGGTAGGAGGTTCTTTATAGGGGGAGGAGTTAAAGGAGATGTTAACCGATACTACTGCATGGTCACTCGTCTTGGTTGTTATACTCACTATATTTTGGCCATTCTGCTCTCAGACCCTCTTCAGGTGTCTATTTTTATATTTGGTAACTTTCTCATAATTTCAAGCTAAGCTATTTATTCAATCCATGGGGTTTGTTCTCATTTTGCTTTCTATTCTGAGGGGAGATAACTCATATCAGTTTATACTCAGTCTTATTCCCCTTTGTGTCACTTGTGCCTTTCTTTAACTGAATCAGAGTAAGTGACTTTTCAGCACTATCAGACACAGGGATTGAACTCACAGTTGTCAAAGACTGGTTCCTTGGTATTTGTGTGTTCAATCCCTGGTACAGGTAGTGCTTAAAAGTCACATACTTTGGTTCAGTTGAAGATGTTCGTTACATTCTAATGAGAATGACTGCTAGAAAGGCAAATCCTACAGACACATGCTGGGATTTCTTCTTAACCAATAAAAATGAATAATACCCACATTTTTGCTCTGTCTTGCCTTGAAGTCAGAATGCTATAACCACCTGACTGTATCCCTTTTGTGAGTGAACATAATTTTTACTTTGTGAACTCTTTGTTGTATTACTGTTGCTTCGCTTTTGGCTTACATATATTGTCTCATACTATTTTTTTCCCTATTCTTTTTTCCACTTCTTGTTGTTTATTGAGAATTTTGTCAACTAGAATCAACCATGACCAATTATTCCATAGAGAAAATGCACAGAATAAGACTGGTAATTTACTAAGTATACAAGGTCGAAAGTATGAAGCACCCTATGAGAATTGAACTCATTACTCAGTTGTAATTGATCTAGTGAGACAAGCTTGCTAACTATTACACTATGTCAGAGCGCACAAGACTGGTGAGTATAAACTGGTAGAAAATATCCCCTCAGCATGAAAAGTGGAATCAGAACAATTTACCTCTGTGGATTGAATAAATATTTCAGTTTGAAAAAAATAAGAAGTTTACAAAGTACAGCAGACAACTAGAGAAGACTGAGGAGTACAATGGCTGTAATGCTGAGTATGACCCTTTGTAGATAGAAAAGGTTGGTCAAAGTAGCTGAACCTTTGGTGTATATTCATCTAGGGCCATTCAGTTATGAAATTGAGCTGTAACTGTAAGCTTATCATAGTGTACTTTGAAATGAAGGCTTTTTATTAATGCATCATTTTGCACATGTTGCCATAGAATTTACAAGACATTTCACTGTTTTTTGATTCTTCAAATACAATAAATTAATATTCAAAATGGCAGCTAAGCTGTATAAAAATTCAGTGATTTTACTCTTCAACTTTCAAGAATACATCACGTATATAAATTTAAAAAAATATCCAAAGGGTTAATCATGTATTAAATCATCTTTGGTTTTCTATATATCCTGTGCATCTACATATGTAAAATATTTAAAATATTAATTTAATTTGCCTTTTATTTTACTGTTTGATCAGATGATTTAAATACAGTAGGACCTCACCATCTGTAGAATTGTCAACCATGTTTTCACTTATCTGTGGTTGGATCAATCAGCAAAGCTTTTGTGCTTACAACTTTTATTAAACGAATTTTCAAAATATATTTCAAGGGAGTAAAATAAAAATGAAAAAAAAAAACATGACTTTAATAATAATGTAGTATTTTGAAAAAACAAAACATTAATCACTTTAAAAGCCTTTAGAATCCACAAATATTAATTTTAGGTGTTTTTTACATCACCTAAATTTGTGGGTAGAAGACATAAACAGGAAACATGTTTAAATTTATGGCAAAATATTGCATGAGAAAGCATTAAAATTTTAATTACTTTTTTAAAATATGATGTTTGTTTTTTGGTGAAAATTTTAAAACATACCTAGTGTATATTTAGTTGTTATTTGTGGATAACAAAGTTCAACTATAGGTTTGCTTTGTAACAACTTCTTTATTTTGCATTTGTTTACATTCTGTGCAACTAAAAGAAAATTTTTTTATTTTTCATCAAAATGATTTAGTCTTAGAAGTCTGTGATTTTTATTTTTTTTTTAATGGTCATTTGAAATAATACTCATCAGCTTTAGATGAGGCTTGAACATGCAGCCTACACCTTAGAAGCTCATTTAAAGGACAATTCTAACCTGAGATATGCAATTCAAATTTAAGTTTCTTCCAAACTTTTTTTTTTTTTCAAATTCTTGCTCATTTATTTGCAATTCAAAGAATAGAAAATGTCATAAAAAAAGATGGAGCTCATTAAAACTAATAAAAATACTTCATCTGAGCATTTTAAAACAAAAGTATTACAACTGATTTAACAGTCAATGTCAAATAGATTGGCTGTAGATATTATGATAAAAAGCAATAAACACTAAAAGAACTAGTCTAGTTTAAAATACAAATATAAGCATCTGATATTTTCAATCATTGTCGTGTTTTTGAGTTTTTTTTGTTGTTTTTTTTTGGGTTTTTTCAGTGAAAAAGTGTATGTTGCAAGTTAATAGAAAAATACAACATTTCAGACTGTTCTTTGTTTATCCCCTGGCTTTGTATATTTTACAGATGGGAATGTCTGGTTGCAGTGGTGTGGGTTCTGAGACACTTCTATCACCAATGGCATTTGTTTCACAGACCAGAATGACATCAAGCTCAAGTAACTCATCAGGCATGTCACAACAAGAATCATAAAAACATTGAGGCTCTGTTGAACTCTGACTTTGTTTTTTGTTTTTGTCTTAAACTCATGATAGTGGATAAAGAAAGAGCTTATGTTAAAAAAATATTTTTTCTTTAAGATAATGATTTTTTCCTATTAAATTCAGGGTTTATTACAGTACCTATATAAATAGCAAGTTAAATATTTCAGAATTAAAAGAATAATTCTTTTGCAACAGAATATATCTGTTCATAAGATTTTTAGAATATACAGGGTGCAGTAGAAATATCTCCCACATAATGGTAAAGCATTAGTAGCAATGATGTCTTCATCAAGCATTATGTGGGAGGTATTTCTGCCTCACCCTGTATTAATTTGTAGGAAATTCTGTTGTTTAGCTTTTGTTGTATTAAAAATCTGAACATCCAAATTTCAAACAATAATAAAATGAAAATAAAGAAAACATGTTTATGCCTGTTAAATAAATCATTTGTATTTACTAACATATACACATGAATTCAAAATAGTTGAAAAAGTAAAAAATAGTCTTTAGTTGAGTTAAATTCTTTGGGTAGTTGGTTCACAGAAAAACCCGTAGTTTAGAAAAGACTTGGAAAATGACTGTCTTTTGTTGTTGTTGGAGATGATTTGTTTGAAGCTGCTGTCACATGTTTCTTTTAGCACATATTATGGGGAAAGAAAAAAAGCTATGTAGCCATGTCTTCTTGCATGTTCGACTTGTAGTCAGCTGCATCTCTACTCTCAAAAAAAGTCAAAATCTGTGGGGTTTTATAGGAAATCTTTCCTGAAAGTAGGCTCAAGAAAAATAGGGTTTTAGTTTTCTCTTTTTAGTCAAATATTTCACATGATGATGTTAATTTCTAACTAATGGACACTTTGATTTAAATGATGTGTGTTGTATTTTGGAATCTATTTATTGTGTTTGTAAATATTGTCTATTATTGAATAGATAATAAAGTTTGAGAGTGTTTAATATGGTATGTATGTAGGTGTGTAATTATGTTGGATATAGGGTTTATTTCCTATACATCCAGTGATGAGTGAATTTGTTACATTTATAACTAGCAGTAGAGCCTGGCATTGCCCGGGGATGTAACAGTAAGAGATAGATCAAGTATCGACCATCATAAAGACTGAAAAATAAAATTGACAAAGATTATTGTTTAAGGTTGACAGACACACATGTCTTAATTAGTTTTTTTTTTGTTTTGTTTTGTTTTGTTTTTTTTACGAATTGGTCAAACCCAAACTCAAACAAAAACATTGTTTTCAATTGTTATGAGTCTACCGATTGAATAGAATTTTATTATAAACAATTGTCTTGTAAATGGAATTTTTAAAGCATTCTGAATGTAAAAATAAAGAAAAAAGTGTGCAAGACAATAAGAAACACTACCTACCAAAAAAAGTGAAGTTTTGTTGAAATCGCTTGAAAAATGTAGGAAATCCGATCCCATATATAAACGAACACACACACACACACAAAAACAACCTGGGTTTTATAATAAGTATAACTCGATATGATTTGTCCCCCTTTCATTCTGGCAACAGAATCATGTTTTATCGTGTTTTCAAATTGATTTTGTGCAAAAACAATTGTGTTTTTCCAATTTTGGCACTGTCAGAACCACTGCAAGGTAATTTTATGCAGTCCTGTGAAGTTTTGTTGAAATCAGTTGAAAAATGTAGGAAATCTGATCCAATATATAAACGTACACACACACACACACACACACACACACACACACACACACACACACACACACAATCTGCATTTTATAATAAGTAAGATGGACTGCATACTAACCATTGCCCCATGGCAAAGTGATATTCATTAAACTCACATCAGGCTGATATAAAGCCACATGTGTGGTACTCAGTGAGGAGTCAACCCACTCTAATAGTATAGTGTTGTGTCTTGGACTGACACCTAGTTAGGATTTAGAGACAACTTCTTGGGTCATTGCTATGGCTTGTACAGTATGAGTTGACTTCAGGTGCACTGCAGTTTATTGTGAATTTTATGTAGCAGTGAAATTCACTCATCTCTTTGGACGAAATACCCACATGTCTCTGCCGAAAGTAAAAATCCAAGCTGTCATTGGTGGACTGGCTAGTGTCAGCTTGCCTGATGGCAAGTGGGCCCCCTTATAAAATGTGATAAAATCATCTGCATGCTGTCAGTTACTCAAGTCCAATATGAGAGGACATTTTCAAAGCTAAAGATCATAAAGACAAGATTAAGAAATTTGCTGACTGATGAGAATTTGGAATCCTACATGTGTTATCCATTGAAAAGGAATTGTTAGATGAATTGGATGTAGAAGCAATTATTGGCAGATTTGGACAATCATCTAGTGAAAACAAATGATTGATCTTAATATAGTGGACTGCATGCAATTCTCTATCGTGAATTTGAACTATCTGCTAATGTGTAAATTGTGCAACCAATTACTTATAATTAAAAATTCAATTGTAACATATTGTACTTACATTTGGTATCTATTTCCAGTCATATATATGTACAGTACATGTATGCTGTAATTACTAAAACATTTTTCCACAAAAATTTTAATTGTAGCCTTTTTAAAATCCATATGTATTATTTGAAAATTTTATTTATTTATTATGAAAATCAAATGATAGCATTGTAATTGTGGGTGGACCACCTTGTCTCCTGGCAACCAATATTTTTGAACCCAGTTCACCACAGTAAGTTGCGTCTCAAGCACTTTAATAAAGAAAGTGGTGTATGCAAATTTGTCATCTGGCCAATGGCAGACATCTGGGGTGCCTAAAGTTGAGTGCCTGTGCAAGCAGTTCTGAATGTATGTACACGTTTTGGTGACAGTTTTGACAGTTCAATTACATGGCATTATCCTTTCCATACTTGCATTTCCAGGGCTGCATATGGTTTTGAATTCATAGTTGCCATTCATGGCTAGAGAGCCCAGTCTGTCTTGCTCTTTAACCATAACTGTGAGCAAGAAGAGATGTATTCATACATTTCCCTTGAGTGTTTGTGTAAAAGTGAATGTAACAAATTCAAATGCTATTTGAACTTGATTCATCAATTTCTCATTCGAAGCTGCTAACAAAAATGTTACATGCACATCCTATAATAATATTGATAGTATGAGCTGCAGGTCAGTGGCTCCAAGTCTAGAGGAGCCTCTCAAGGGCCCTCTAGTCTTGGGGCCTCTGATAAAATTTATTTGAGGCTCCTGATAAAACTGTTTATTTTCTGATTTAAACTGATTTGTTTATTTTCAGATTTAATTAGCTTCCTTTGAACTAATTTTAAACAATTTAAAGTATTTAGACCCCTCTAGTTGGAGTGAGTCTTTTTAAATTTGATTCAAGAGCAATCATTTGATCTGATTATAATTGCTCTCAAATGCAATATGGTTAAACAAACAAAACTTACTCATATTGCTAGAATTTTTTCTTTTTTAATTCACGTAAGCATTTCTGAAGATGGTTTGTCACAAGGAGTTGATAATCTTATCAAAGCTTAACCTGAAGATATGAATAATTCATTCCCAATAGAAGTGAAACATTTTCATATGTATGTGAAACAAAAATTTCCTGATAAAAACACACTTTTACATCAAGATTTATATCTGATTATTTTAGCGACCAAATAGATTTGGAATTTCTTAATGTTGAATTTGTTTCAAGACATTTTCTATGTATGATGGTAACCAACTATTTTGGTGAAAGATCTTTTTCTCAACTCAGAAGAATAAAAGGACAGCTTTGATCAATTCTTACACAATACAAATGGGTTCCCTCAGCATTTCATGTACTGAGAGTGATAAGTTGCATGAAATGTTTTGTATGATTTAATCAGACATTGTTGCAAATAAAATCAAGAAGAAATTTATTTAATTTAGTCTAAAATTAATTTTTTCTACTATATCTGTGTATTTGATTTCTCACTGTGATAATGAAGGTAATGAATTAAATTTGATTAGTTCCAAAATCATTAAAAATTTTAGTTGAAGTGTTTCATGTTTTACATCAAAAAAAGCATCATCTAAAAATATATTTTTTATAGACATGGGGTGGGGGACGAACATACGTAATGAAAGGGGCCATTTAAGACATAAATTCTATTAGCCCAGGGGCCAATTAAGACCTAAATCTAGCCCTGATTAATAATAATAGTAATAATAATAATAATAATGTAACCTAGGAAAGGTTATGGAATAGAATAATCAAACAAAGGTTGGTAATGAATGATAATACTTAGGACAGGAACAATATATATAAGATTTGCCAGTGACACATAGAAGAAGTAGTCAATTGCTAGAAGTGAGTTGAGTGAATTCCACAATGAATCTCCAACTGCAGACCAACATACAGTATTTATGTGAATGGGGACATACCCATTATCGTCTGTAGGTATGCTACAACAAATGATGATGATAATTTAGTGGAGCCATAAGCTTTAGGTGTATATATGAATGTATACATTGGAGCAAATGTCTATGTAAAAAAAAAATTTGATATAGTCTAATATAAATGACAAAAGCAGATGCTAAACTCATCTTTGCAGCTGCTATATGTTGCCGTGCAGCAGTTAAAATAACCATAGATGTTTGAATTAATAGAAAACTGTACATTGTAGAATTCTAAATCAAATTTGAGATTTTTAATTAAAAATTCAGCTTTATGCCATTACCTAGTGTAATAAGTTGACTTCTCCAACCACACTGGTAAACTGACATGCCAGTCAACTACAGACTCTACACATGTAAACAAGTTAGAATTTGTTAAATTTATTTAATACAATGCTTAAACAAACACTTCACCACAGTCCATTTCTTTCATGATGCACATTAACTCTCATTCAGTAGCATGCAGAAGTGGGTGCAGAGTGTGTGATGGCCCTGGGCATTCATATCAGGAAGACATTCAATCAAAGAATGAAATAAAAATTTAGTTTATATTTAATTTGAATGAAGTGTTTATTTCATGTTTCGTCTGTTTTTACATATTTAAAATGTCATCCTTTCTCACATTTCTCAGTACTCTGCCCTATGGCCCCTCCCTCCTATTTGTGTCTTAGGGGCATATAATCAAGGCATTGGCCCCGAGCATCACTAAAACTCTGCACATCACTACTCCCATTCCCTGTAAATCAAGTTTAAATTGATATCTCCAATTGATCAGTTATAGTTTACACATTTTATTGTTGTCTGGAGGGTAGACATAAGACTCTCTTATGGCGAACTTAAGTATTTTTGTTAAATAAGTTAAGAAAAGCAACAATACTTTTATTTTCTATTTAGATGAAGCATAAATTATTAAGAATTTTGACTAGCATTTATTTTCATTTTGTTTTGTTTCTTTTACCACATCTTTAATGAAGCCATAAAGTTGTGAGTCAAGAGTGCAGAATCAGAAATAAAGAAAAAATTAATCAGTTGCAAGGTTAAAGTTAATAAAATATGAGTTGATAGCTCTTAGTCTCCAGACTCGTTTTACGGCTTTAAAATTTATTAAAATTCCAAAACAGTTTTTAGATTGAATCCTCTATATTCGGCTGTCAATTCATTGTCTTAGCTGTTATTAACAAGTGCACAAGTTTTAGATAAGTTGTCCCCCTTCGCTTTCAGTCCTGAATTTTAAATTTATATTCTGTGTAGACGCCAATGCGTACTTTACTAATATTTTTTTCGTCGTTTTTTGTTACTTAAAATATCTATAAATTTTTTTCTAGTTGATATTAAAATAATCTATGCATTGTTGAAGACTAGATTTGTATAGACATTTTTATTTTATTTTTATAATTTCAGACATGGCAAAAATTAAAAATGAATCAAATCTAACTCCATTGACAAAGGAACAATTGCAAGAAGCATTACTGTATATAATAAAAGTAAGTTCCAAAGTAAGATCAACAAAAAAGAATGAATTAAGTAATCTATTTTTTTCCAAAAATCATTTAAAAAAACTCCACAAGATTTTATCGCTCCAAACTGTTAAAATAGTGTGTGTGTTTCCATTATTTGGTGTTATCCATTCATAGAAACCAAGTTGATACTAAGAATATATCTATCTCCTTGATAAAAACACATCAGCTGTGTCTGTTATCTTCAAATGTTTTAAACATTCATAAGAAATGACAAATCGGTGTTTTCACAATGAAATTGCTATTAACCAACTAATATTATATCATAAATATTCTATATAAATTTCAGCGTGACTGTTTTTATTAAAAGTATTTTCAGGTCCAGTCAGGCTTATACCTGTTGCTGGTTACATGTAATCCAGTACAACCTGCCACATAGTTGGCATCTAAATCAGATCCCCCACTAGCTTTTCTGCTGGTGAGGAGAGTGGCAGGTCACTCTGCAGGACAAAAAATTTTATCAGACACAAAGCAATAATCCAAAATATTTAAAACAAATTGAGAGAGTTTATTTTTCACATAAAAGTTATATGGTTGTATTTGACATGAATGAAAAGATATTTTAAGGTACTTAGCTTTGGAGTTGAATAGAGTTCTTTGAAATTGCTCTGCTCTCATTAGAGGCTGATAATGTATTAGCATCTAATTTAATACCGACATTATTCAAATGTGTAGAACTCTGGTTTTCTGCCTCCTGCTTCTTTCTGCTTTTTCTTTCTCTCTGACTTGATTCAACTTTATCTGCCTATTTATATCAAAAAGTAATTTCACATCAGCTTGTTACTTTTTCCTCAGTTTGTAAGCTGCTTCCTTTTCCATTGGTCAAAATAAATTTTCACATAGGCTCATTAAACTTTGCCTTGGTCTTTTCTTCAGCCCAGAGCCAATCAATCATTTTGTCAAAAATTTTCAGAGGCTCACAAATTAGAAAACAGTGAAGAAAAGAGAGTTATTTTTATTTTTTATTCACCACAACCTCTCAAGGAGTGGATGATCTACTACTGTAAGTGCCTGAGTTGTGCATCAGGAAAAGCATCTGTACTTGTAAAATCTTGCATAAATCATGTCAAATCCTTTGTCAGGCAGAATCCACTTTACTTTGCTTTGCTGCCTCAACAAAAAAAAAAAAAATATTTATTGGTTGGTTAATAAGAATTTAACTTTGAAAACATTGTTGGGTCCAATTGTCCAGCAATGAGAACATCCCTTCCCAAAATTTATAGACAAATCCTACAGATGCATGCTGGGAATTATTCCTAACCAATAAAAATAGACAATTCTCAATCTTATTCTTCATATTTTATTTCTTTTTTGTCTTGAAGTCAGAACACTATAACAACTTGAATGTATCCCTTTTATGTTTGAACACCATTCTTACTTTAACTTTTTACTTTTTGCTTTATTACTGTTGATTTGATTAGTTTTGTCTTGCATATATATTGTTTGCTGAGTATTATTTTTCCCTGTTCTTTTTTCCCTTTTCTCATTGAGAACTTTGGGAATTACATTTGTTGAGAATTTTGTCAATTACACTTAGCCATGTACAACATTACTTGCAAATCTGACATAATTTAAAGGAAGAAAATACCAACTGTAAAAAGATTTTGTACATTTTATAAGTTTCTTTGTTTATTTTATTGACTTTTCCTTTAAAAAAATAACTCCTTTGTATTTTATAATACACAATTTCTAAACATAATACAATCACTTTTGTAATGTTGGTTTTTACATTAATTTCTTTTGGATCTATGGTCATCTTGCCTTATTCATGACCTACTCCTTTTAATTTAATGGGAAGGTATTTTCTGCATGACTGGATTAGAATTCATTTAATTAGATGAAATAATGCTTGCATCATTTTTTTTTTTTAACTCAAGGGAGGTAATTTTTCTTAAATGTTACAACTAATTTTTATATTTTTCAAAATTTTGATTTTCTTTTTTAAAACTAAGGAAGTAAATTTAGAAGAAATTAAGTTTTTTAAATAAAAACAATGTAATGAATTTTACAATTTTTATTTATTTCAGAACGATTCCAGTTTGGTTTCCAGAATCCATGAAGCCTACTTCCTTAAATTAAATAATGAGATCTCAAATCCAATAATGTAAAAAAAAAAAAAAGTTCCTCACTTTTAACTGAGGAGAGAAAAAATTTTCAAAGTCTTTCATCATCACACTTGTTTCCTTACATTTTTGTCTGACCTACAAATCTCTTCTCTTCTTTAAACTCCAGGCTGCCTCAATTTTTTTTTTTTTTGTTGGTATGAATTTCTATTTGAAACCACCTTAAATATAGCCTGAAACTTTTATTTAGAACTCTCAGTGAAACAAACTTTTCATTTAAAAAAGAAAACCTTCAACTATTTTCAGAATTGACAGCATTTCATTAGACATTCCATTGCATTCATAATTTTATTATTTGTGCCTTGTAATATTGTGAGAAGTTGTAGTTTGGGGAGAAAAAATATCAATTTTTAAATATTTCACTTCTTTTTTCCTACCAATTGAGTAACGTTTTGTTTTTTATTTGACCAACATCACTATTCATTTTTGTTTGTTTTTCGCTTTTTTTTTTTTTTTTTTTACTTTTAAGCTTTTAATATTGCCAAATGATTTTAAAGTCAAAATAGTCATTTGATTTTGTTATATATGAATAAGATTGTTTCTTGTACATTTTTCTTGATCAAGTTTCATTTAGTATTTGTCAAAATTAAAGGCAAACTGGGAACTTCCTGTCTTAAAAAAAAAAACTGGAGTGTCAAAAGGACAGTTTTTTTCTTTGACACCACCATTATTTGGCAGAACATCAGTTAATTGCCAATTGAGTCAAACCTTAAAATAGTAAATAGGATTTCCTTATAGTTAGTTCACATATTCTAATAATTTATTAAATGTATGTAAATTTATGAATAAAAAAATTGTTTTTCATATTTGTTTCTTGGTAAATGATAAATATTGCATTAGTTTTAATTGTATTAGTTTTTAGAATGTTGTAAATATAAAATTATTCTTGTAAATAAACAATATAATCATTAAATAATGATTAATATTTTTATAAATTCTCAAGAACAGAAAAATTTATAAATTCACTTTCTTCATATATTTAGGTTTTATTACAATTTTAATCATCACTTTTTGAAACAACAAATATTGTCAAGGATGGAAGGTAGTTGAAATAATAGCAGTTTCAATGGAAAAACTGTCTTTTTAGCACTCCATTTTCTTGAGGCCATGAATGTCCAAGTTTGTTAAATTAGATTCTTCAATTTTTGATCATGTAACCCTGTGATAAAAAGAAAATAGAAATTATTTTGACTACAAAAGAGACTACAAAAGTATTTTTCTGAACATGGCCTCTATGTAGATGAATAGAACATTTAGCTGTCAACAGTTCCCAGCACAATGAAACTGATTTAATTTGCCTTTTTTTCTTTGATTTTCAATTTTCAAAAGGTAGTAATGAGTGTTCAGCAAGGTTGTTGTCATCCAGCCAAATCTGCGAATGACATTTCTATTTCATCTTTGCAAAATAAGTAATTGACGTTGAGAGATAGTAGTAACCTATTTCTGTTGATGGAAAGAAATGTCCAGCTCAATAGAAAATTCAAAGTATATTTTCTCCTTATTAAATATTCTCCTTGTTCATCTGACTCTCCAAAAAATGTACTCTTCAAAGTTAAAATAGACATAAGCTATTTTGATTGAGGGCACTTAAAAGATTCCCTTTAGGTGCAATTATTTTGAACTTGATAAGAGTATTTGTCCTTTTTCCCCTCCTTTGTTGGAAGAAGTTGGAATACAACTTCAATTTACTTTCATTCTCCCCAACTTGTAAGCCAGAAAACTGAATATTGAAAAAATATAAAGATTTTGTCGCAGGTCTTGAGTCATCATTCCCAATAACTAAATAAGTTCCCACTTTTTCCAACTGCCAGTTTCATGTGCTAATTTTATTCATACTTAAATGAGTAAATCATTTTTGAACACATTTGTATCAAAAGTTAATTAAACTTTCAATATGTGTCCTTTCTTGATTCCTCTGGACTTCTCATGTGCAATAACAAACAAAATGATTTTTTGCTGAGGATTCATATTTTAGTTTTATGGCTGAAATTTCTGGATTTGAAAGCTGATAGAGCAAGTTCTTCTCTGTTTACTATGTTATTGTTGGTTTCTAGATGACTATGCAACATTTTGCATGATTTCCATCTATCACCAATTCAATAGTGCATATCCCTCTATGGCCAATTGGTATTATTAAATTCAATTGAAAATAAATGCACATGTTTGGCCAGGTGGTCCATCTGATAAGTGTCAGTTGAGATGTTGATTTAGTGGTGGAGTTTTTTTGTCATTTTTTAATTACGCCAGACAACAGCATATTGTCTTTTATTGCAATATTCCAATATCTATCTTTAGTTACTCATAACAGACATGTAAGTTACGAGCATTTCTTTACACTTGAATGCAGTCATTGCTAAGTATTTTACACAATATGAATAAAAGGTTATACAGTAATTTGTTGATTGATTTACTTTCCTTTTCTTAAAAGCTGATGATACATGTAAATTAATGACATTTTAATCATCCAATCATCTCAAAGATTCTCCAAAAGTCAGTTTTTCACTGTGTGAAATGCCTTTGTTCTACAAGAGATTGTTGTTTCAAGTGGATCATTTTAAAACCTTTTTCCTTAAACTATATTTTTGAATTGCTTTTCCAGCAGTTATATGCCTCTTTAGCTGATTTTTTTGTTTTTTTTGGAGGGGGGGTGATGGACGTTTTCTAGGAGTTGAGTATTAAGTATTGCTTTTCTAATGCCCAGCCAATATTTGTTTTATATCAGTTCAGATGGTTAGAATAGTACTGAAACAGATGCTATCTTATTCACTGCAAACTGTCTAGATATTACAATGAGGTAGAGATAATTAAGCCTGTGCTCAGTGTGTGAGTTAATCATTTCCAGCTTGCTGAAATAGTTCATTTGTAAGCTTGCATAGAGTGATTTCAATACTGAAAATTACTAAGGGGAGGCTACTCATAACTAGAATCTTAACACAGGTGTTCCCGTGTCAACACATACATTTGAAAAATGCTACACAATTTCTTACTCTCTAAAATTGCCAAGTATTTAATTGTGACATGTTCTACTTTTCTTTGATTCTAATAACTAATTCAAATATTTCTTTTTGTTTTTTGCTGTGTTTTCTTCTAAGAATTGTTTCAAGTTAATTTTTATTTTTACCATTTTTTTGTTACTAACAATTCTCTGTTTTTAAATCATTTAAAGAAATTAAAACATCTGGTAGGTAAGTGCTATATGATAAATTACCTTCTACGTGATTGATAAACTCCAGCAGAACATTGCTGGATTATCACATTGCTTCCACTTGCTTGTTTTCCCCACAGTGCTTCCTGGTGTTATCGCTTCCTCTGGATATCGATGCATACATACCCTTCTGTCCCCCCTTATTTTAGAGAGAGTACATCTCATTGGAGTAGATAACCTCCTTCAATATAAGGTTCAGTTCTGATGTTTGCATACTCAATGAGGACTTTTGGTGATGGACATTGTTTAATATGGGTGCTCTAACTGACCTGTGGCTATGGGCTCAATGTACTGTTTGTGACACATCCTTTCCTTCACCTTGGTTAAAGCTATCTACAAATTATGCCACAGTAACCTTTCTGTTGGTTCATACTTGGTAGGAAAGCCTCAATTTCTTACCAATAAATCTTGATTTTTTTCCTCTTTGTACAACTGCTCTAAGGTACTTACCACAAATGTATGTGAGAACCCCACCAGAAACCATGTTGTTTCAGAAATCCTCTGACCAAGTCTTTCAGCCATAACAATTTGGTCTTTGTCCAAATCATTCAAATCTTTCTTCTTGGATATAATTGCACCATTTAGTAGATGAGAATGATGTAGTGGAAGTCAACTTACCTACTTCCCTGGATACATGTAGTTGTTATGAGACAATAGGTGATATTCTTGACACATGTTTATTCTCAGTTCAAAGGTTAGGTCATATTTGCATCACCTTCTCTGAGATCTGTTCAAGTATGGAAGATCAAAAATGTTTCCTTTGTACAATTAACTAGTTCATAAAGAGGATAAACTGAGAGATCTGCTGCAAATGTGCTTATCAGTCGACTTGGTGCTGCTCAAGAAAGTAAACAAATTATTTAAAATTCCATCCATACATAAAAATTTTACAACTTCAGTATCTAAAACAAAACAGAAAAAAACAACTAAAAACTTTTTCAAATTTTAGTTCCATGAGTTTTATTTTCCAAATCCTGGCATATTTTTACATTTCATGTTGATGTTTCAAATAAAATTTAAACTGATTTAATTTCTGTCTGACTTTTTGAGATGAGGAGTTATCTGGATTACTTACATTCAAATAAATGCCCTCATCTTTGTTGTTTTTATCATGTTTCAGCTTCAATGATTAAAGTGTTGTTTTGTTAATTTGTCATCATATTGTGAGGTCAATCCCTGAGCTCGGTAGTACAGACTTAAACTCTGAGTGAGCAATATCTGAGCAGTACTAAAAAGAATAATATTGAGATATCCCTAGACATGGACAGTGAAATGAGAACATTCTACCCTCATTGATTAAATAAAAGGTCAGATTGATAGACACCTGAAAATGGTCAAAGGGCACAACAGCCAAAACATGATAATAAAAACAAATATAAGAACATTAGTCTGAATGAAAATGATTTAATTTTTCTGTGTATTTGTCTTTATATAAAAGTAATGGAAGTATTTTTATTAGCCACACATTGAGATTTCAGAATGTTAAATGTAGAGGTATGTGCTTGACTTTAAATAAAAATTATTTCCACAAGGTTTTCTTCTGAAATTCCCTTTTCATAAATAAATTTAGTAGTCATAAACAAATAGGAAGAGTGCTGAGAACTTCTCTGCCTAACCAAGAACAGCTTTAAAAAAAATTATCATTTGGTTCAATTTTAGAAATAAGCTAGGCTGAGAACTTTTCAACACTTTTTCACAAGTATTGAAAATTTTATTGAAAGCAATGATTAGCTGACTTTTTAAATTTAATTTGTTTTTTTTTTAAATAAAAGGGTAGTTC